CCCTTGTCGTTTAGCTTCGAATTCAGGTTTTTATGGTCTCCCGGACCAGCCGCTGAATAATATACCTCTGTCTACTTCAGCTTCAGCTAATAGAAGGACTCGTAGATTTCTGTCCCAAGTTCCGCTCCATGCTACCAATGCGCCCAACCGGGAAACTATTAAGTCCCAATCCTCCCTTTCCTTCGACGTCGTCATCATTGGCGCCGGAATCATCGGGTTGACCATCGCCCGACAGTTCCTCCTCTTTTCGGATCTCTCCGTCGCCATACTTGATGCTGCCGTCCCTTGTGCTGGTGCCACTGGAGCTGGTACACCTCTTTTTTTTTCCTTAAGATAAGATGATAGAGCATGTGTCGTGTATCTATTTCCGGTGCGGCTTGATGATTGGTTGTAGCTAGCAGTCTCTTTGGTGATGTTAACGTTGAGGGTGGTTCTAGGGCAGGGGTACATATGGAGGATAAACAAGACACCTGGAGCTGAAAAATGGGAACTAGCATCTAGAAGCCATCAATTGTGGGTTAATCTGGCTGAGAGCTTGCAACATCAGGGCTTGAATCCTTTGCAGATTCTTGGATGGATGAAGACTGGTACTAATTTTAACTCCCATCCTTCCCTTCCCCATTGGAAATGACTCCACAATGGTGGCCTGCAGGCATTTTTCTTTATAAAGTCTTTTCTGTTTTTGTGTTTTCTATGACATTTTAATGTTTCTGCTTTAAGTTAATTGTGCTCGATTTCACTCTTTTGCCCATTTCTACTGTATTTTTTCGAGATTACTGAATGCACTGACGACATAATAGGCGTAAAAGTTGAAAGGTGGTATAACAATGTTTGTTGTGGATGGTGGAATTGACTAGCTTTTTGAATCGTCAACTGAATCGAATGATGTGCTGCATTTAGCTGGCATGCCCCATCCAATGAGAATTAGTAGGGTTCAACTCTAAATTAATGAGTTACTATGGTGAAGCTTATTAGTGCTCGCTTGGTCATTTCTCCTATCTAATAAGTTGTTATATTTAGTGAGCATTTGTTGCACTCAACCCTATTTTCTGGATTTCTAAGGTGAAGCTTCTCTGTGCTCACTTGGCTCATTCCTCGTATGTGGCATAGTACATAAATCTAATTGGATCATATTGTTTGTGAATTGGACACTTAGAGGGAACATTACCTGTCTTCACTCGTGCATGAACCAGTTTTCATGAAATATAAAGGAGGATAAGAAAAACTTGTTATGCATTAACAAACATATTGCTTCTTTGAATTATCCTCAAGTGCTAATTATCTATAGAACATTGCTGATGTTTGATAGGAAGTTTATTGGTTGGTAAAACGAAGGAGGAATCTACCTTGTTGAAGGCGAAGGTGAAGCAACTATGTGATGCTGGGTTGGAGGCAGTGTTCTTGTCCAACCAAGATTTGCTGTTGAAAGAACCTGCGCTTGTGCTCGGAAAGGAAGGTACGGCGGCTTATTTACCTGATGACTGCCAATTAGATGCTCGATGTGCAGTTGCATTCCTTGAGAAGGTTCTTTTTTTCTCTCACACTCAGTGCTTCTGTTTTTCCCCCCTTTTTATTTTGGGTTAGACAGCTTCATTGGATTTATTGTGTACTTAATGTTTTATGCGTAGGAGAACAGGCATTTTGCCTCTGAAGGGAGATATGCTGAATTTTATCATGAGCCGGCAACCTATTTGTTGAGGTTTGTTGGTAGAGTACTCTCTATTTTGCAGAACTTTCTCCCAGATTTAACTGATGAGTTTTTAGTTAACCGGAACTTGAACAGATCTGGCAGCAGTGGAGAGGTTGATGCCGTTCAGACTTCGAAGAATACAATTTTCAGCAAGAAGGCTGTTGTTATGGCAGCTGGTTGTTGGACTGGAACTCTGATGCATGAGTTGATTAAGAGTACAAACATTAAATTGGATATCCCCGTAAAGCCTCGAAAGGTCAGAATAAGATATGTGATGCAGATTTAAAAGCTTGGAAACTGAGTGATTAAAAGTAGGTTCTGCTGTAGAATTAGGCACAATGTAAGAGCAGTGGTGGTAGATGTGCATTAACTAGATTTGCAGTGAATGATCTTCAAAGCAAATGCAAATTTTGCTAGCAAAGTTGATTATATAATGTAGCAGTACTGGTGCTTCTTTTTTTTCTTTCCTCCAGAATCTGTTGTGAAGTCAAACATCTTTCTAATGTGTTTGACAGGGCCACCTGCTTGTGGTTGAGAATTTTAATTCCTTCAAACTAAATCATGGTCTCATGGAGGCCGGATATGTTAATCACCAATCTGCATCTCTGCCATCCACTGCTTCTCATAAAAGGCCCCTCTATGATGCCCAGGCTACATCTGTCTCAATGACAGCCACTATGGATACCTCAGGAAACCTAGTTCTCGGTACTTTCAACTTCAACTTCAACTTCATTCTACTTCTTGATTCCTTCTCTCTGTATCTGTCTGTGCCCATCTGCATAGGAGCATTGAATTCCTTTGAGTGTCTTTGTTACAGGTAAAGTAAGTTTATTGATGCTACTGATGGTGCACCCAAAAGATTATACTTAAAAGCTGCATATTCTGATTGATAGTAAGAGAACATCCCTAAGTCAACCAAAATATATAACAACATCCCTGCCTCTTGTGTTGTCCCAGGAAGCAGCCGGCAGCTTTTAGGGTTCAATGTGGACGTAGATGAGTCCATCATCAACCGCATTTGGCAGAGGGCTGCAGAGTTCTTTCCTGCATTGACAGAAAAATCTCTGGATGAGTTGAAGAAAAATAGAGCAGTGAGAGTTGGACTAAGACCTTACAGTAAGTACCAAAGAAAAAAATAATATAGAATTCTTATTATTGTAAATGTGTACAATTAGAATCCCACTGAAAGATGAGTTTTATTATGGACTAATCAATCATGTGTTCTAGTGCCTGATGGGAAACCAGTGATTGGACCTGTTCCTGGATGGTCAAACTTCTATATTGCTGCAGGGCATGAAGGTGAAGGACTAACATTGGTAATTTTCAACTTCTCTCCTTCTGGTGTGATGCATAAAAGCACAATCTAGTATAACATATGAATATGGCTTGTGGATCCTGTAAATTCGGGCTATGTCGGATGCAGCTGAAGCTACTTTCCATCTTTTTCTTTTTGTTTTACTTTCTTTTACTGTTATAACACATGACCTTGTCTCTGTCCAATACTTCTTTTCAGGCTCTAGGGACTGCTGAAATGATTGTTGATATGGTGTTGGGCAATCCTGGGAAGGTTGATCCCAAACCATATGCTGTGGATCGGTGTTGTACATGAATATGAATATGGGGAGAGGGACGCTTTCATTTGCTATTTTAATCAGCAGATTTGAAAACTTGATGCTTGCATTGAAGGTTGGCCTTGAAAAGTTCTTGCTTCATTTCACTGGCTCATTGCTTCAAGTGGAGCTGAATTTTGCGTGTAGTTGCACTTGTATGTCTGACTTCTACCACCCCCGGCGGCCCCAAAAAAAAAAAAAGAGGAGTAACTTGTATCTCCAAGTATATGTGCCTAGTAGGTTGGATAGAGTCGAACAGGACATATTTGACAGTCTTGTAGACGCTGCAAGTTATGCACCATCTTATGTGCCTCTAATACAACATGATGGTATTTGTTGTATTCTGTTGTATAGGTGCTTAACACTGTAGAACTGAGATTCTTGCTTCTAAGCATCGAATGATAGCCAGGTTTATGGATGTGCGTTGTGCATATGGAGAACAGCATTTTGTTTGTAATATGAGTGACATGAAGAATGCTAAGCTCTTTTAACTGTGAGCTTTCCGCGTATTAATGCAAGATGACGATCATCAAGAATGAAAACCAGTTTATAACTGAAGGAAAATGCATAAGAATGAGCTTTGGGGAACTCTTGGATGTAATTCTACTTGGCAAAAAATGCTTGGCGTATAGATTGGCGGACGCATGAACGGACGGGTAGATGAGTATGCCAGTAGGGATCCCTTTTCTGCGGTACATAATTTACAGTATGGACTCGCTAAATCAGTCTCTAAAAGAATATATTTCTTCATGTGTTTGAGTCTTCTACGAAAAGATTATTTAGTTCTTCATGATGATGCAGGGTTCTGGACATACCGTCGCAGAGTACAAGCCACGTGAAGCTCTGGAATTTTATACTCGGTGGTTGGATGGGAGGAAAATTTGAAGCTTAGACTGGTCGATAACATGTGAGGAGGGAAGGGAAACTAAAGAATAGTGCATTAGAATGTTTTAGGCTACTCCAAGTTTGCCTTCAACGAGGTCAGAATGAGGTTAGCTTGTATTGATGGTCCCCTCACAGTCAGAGACGAGAGATACAAGGGGCACAAAGACTGGTAGAACAATGGTTAGGACACCGGAAATGTATTCTTTTATGAAATATGCCCATAGTCTGTGATGCTCCTTTCTTCCTTGCTTTTCTTAGTGTAACAATAATAACTTGCTTAGTTACATGCTGCTAGTAGAAACAACCAACAAAATACATGGATAAGGCTGCATGTCGAATGAATAATAGAATTTCCTGGTTTTAGCTTGCACAGATACGTATGCAGGCATAGCCACTCCCCAATATTCATATTGCACTTGTGTATGAATCATAGGCCCATCTCGCAAATTTAGCTATTAATTTGTTAGTTCTCGTACACATAATCAAGAGTATAAAGTAAATTTGCAGAAGATTTATGTACTATTGACCAGTGGGGTTGCAGGAAGAAAAAGAACTGGTCCAGAATATTTAGAGGAAGTATTAACCTGGAGTAACAGCTAATACTTCTGATTTTCAAGCATTGCCTTAAACTAACAATGTTTCTACAATACCCTTATTTGGGCTGATATTTTGGCTAAGTTTACCTTGTATATGGAGTTATTTAGGCTACAAAGTAATGCATCATATATAATTAAGGACAAGCATGGTGAAGCTCTGTAAATTTCAGTTTCAGTATCTGTATTCTCAGGCCAGCTGTGTTTTTCCTTGCCATCTTGAGAAATAACTCCATTAATGAATTCTTCAGAGTTGTCGCCTGGATTTCCTCGCTGAAAGCCTTTCAGGGGAAAAAAATATATAAAATTAAACATGTTACCATTCCATATATCTCATGAAAGGAGATGAAGGATCAACTAATTGGGTTCTTTCGTTGTTAAATTGTTTGGCTGGATTACCAATGATAAATTAATATTGAGTTAACCATGCTTAGCAATAGATGCAATATTTCAAAAAGTATCACCTCTGCTTTGAGAACGTTCAAGACCAAGCCATTAGAAGTTGTGACATTGGCATCAGTCACTTGAAGTCCAAAAGAATCCATAGCCTGCATTAACCTCAAAAAGCAACCTCTTTTTTGTGTGCATATGATCTTCACCAAGAAATCCCTTGTGCCAATCTGGCTCACTTCAATTTTCACCTACGCTCATCGAAACAATTGCGAAAGGGATAAACTTAAGCAAACTTGGGATGATAGTCTCAAACTTTTATGATTCCTAAAAAATACAAGCTGTTTAGAGATCAACATCTATACTTTGAATGTTAAGGGACCTTCTCACCTTCCCTTGTTTTTGTCATTGGTGCTGGAATGGCGTCTGCTGTCACCTTGCTCAATTGTTGGTTGATAATCAGTTCTTTGAATTTCTCTGCACGACCTTGGGACCTCTTGTTCTGAACTGTACATGTTGGCCTCCTGCCTGCCAAATCTCGGAGTTTACCTTGATACTCTTCACACTTTTCTGCAACTCTTGTATGTAATCATATGCATCCGCAAGCGTTGAAGCTTTATCCATCTAAGTAAAACAAAAAGATCATTATGAAAACATGTAGAGCAGGAAAAAGTCTTTGCTTTTGGCGTTTAAAGGATATCACCGCAGAACCTTGGAAATATTGGGAACTAATGAACGAAGAGTTAAGAGACCATGGTTTATCCTGTGCCTTCTATTCCTCTCTGTTATGAGGTTCTTGGAGTGGTAATTGTCTCTTTCTGTCTTGTTTCTGCCTCTCAGATTTTCATTTGTCTCAGCAGCCCATTTAGCACTTCCAAAACCACAACTAGGATCTTTCATTCTTCTTGAATCCAAATTTCCTGGATGTCTTCCACTCGATTTTTCAGGTGAAGTGGAACAAGATGCTGAACCTGAACATACATTAAGCAGTTGGTAATCCTTGGGAGATCGGAACTGATGGAAGATCCTTCAAAGCTAGGATGATTGCTCGAATTGGGTATAAAGGTAGGATACTGAAGATTAGGGACAGATATCATGTGGCAAACAGATGCTGGCAAGTTATTGAAGCAATCATCAAGAAACGGTCTGTGCGATGGTTCTGCGGCATTTAATTCTGTACGCCGATGAGAAGCCATGGTTTCCAGTTCAACAGGAACGTACTGAGCCAAGATAAAATCAATTATCTGTTGAGTTCCTGTACCTACAGAATCACAATAACGTAATTTGCAGATTAGAAAGAAGAATTCAGTTTGTTATTGAGAAATGGTAAGCAAGATAAACTCTTACCAGGTTTGTGCTGAAGAGTTCAATCAAACACCCGCAACGGTACTAAAACTTGGGTTCCAATCCTGCGTGCCAGACACAACTATGCTTAAATTCCTATTAGCCTTGTAATTTGTTTTAGTTAGAATTCTAAAAGTTAAGGAGTGTCTAGATCACAAGCATGAAGTCCAATTGCTCCAAGATGATACCCTGACTTGAAAGCAAATTCACCAATTGCGACTGTTGTCTTTCATCAATCATGCCCAGGTAAAGGGGAAAAAAATTCTTTATGATGGTGATGTTGGAAAAGAAGTGATATCCTGTTTGCATTTGACTACGATTAAAGAGCAAGACCTAGAGAGCTGCAGGCTTTTTAGTTTTTACAACAAAAGACCGCGATCATTAGAGAGGAAAAGAGATTAAAGGGCCAAAAGAAAAGAAAAAAAAAGAAAAAAACTCACGCTTCATCCGAAGAAGTGTTGTTGGAATTCACGTGCCACTTGCTCGATTTGACATTACTACTTCCCCATGAATCCTGCTTTGATTCCCACATATTAGAAGAAGGTTCATCTTAGGCTCTAAACAGGCAGTAATTAGAAAGAAGTAGTTTTTATCTTTGCAAAAAATACCAGAGTACAGTGGTATTGATAAAGGAAATTTGGCGAGTTTTTCACAAGCCTTGGTTCTTATTGGATGCTTAAAATGTCCATCCCTCATTGAGCAAACAAATACTGATCTTTGCCACTTTCCTCTTTCACATTCTCGAGCCAATTCCCACCACTGCAACAGCAACCTCTCCATTCAATGAAACTGCAATCAATAAAAAGATCCACAAATCGATAAGCAAGAAGGCTTCTTTTCAAGCAGAACAGAAAAAAGCGTAGAGGGCAACTGGAATTTCTAGAGGATAAGAGTGAAAATTGTAGTACGAATTGCGATAATTTTACATTTAACCTTGAAGGGTCATCTCCCAAATTTCAGACAATACAATAGTCCCATACATTGTTCTTAACAAGGACCCTTAGTCTCTCCAGTGCCTGGTCCAAAGCTGCCATGTCCTTGAACCTTTCGAACACCTTTGTATCTATCTGGGGCTTGCCCCTGCTGGCTGGTGCCTCTGATGGTTTTGCTGCTGCAGCTGCTCTTAGTACCTTCTGTTGTTGAAGCATTTCGGGGGGCTATGTATTAATTGCACTTCCACACGACAATCCTAACCGACTTTACCAATGCATTGTACCTCCTCCCTCAGCACCACATCTGTGTCAGAAGAATCAAATACGAGCAGCTTTTTACCAGAGTAAGGGCCTACGATTATGAGTTACAATTGCCTACTACTTGTATCAGTTGTATGCACCAGCACAACAATTGTATACGCTAACACGATAATTGTACACACAAAATAGTGTGTACGAAGGACTTGCGCTAAAAGACAAAGAAAGAAAGAAAAAAGAATAAAAAGGAAATACGGGGAAAAGAATCGTTCAAAAGTTCAAGAATGGTCCAATAACTGCAATGAAAATGCTGACTCCGTTTTGATACCCCTTTTGTGGAAAGCTTATTACACTTTGCTTTATTTTGCTGTCTAGCCTGTCTTTCATATTAGTTCTAGCAACTTCACAGTAAATTTTCTCTTCTTCTTTTTTCCGGTTACTTTCTCCTCTAACAATTTCTGATGTTGCTGCTTACGCTGACCGAATCAAAAAGGAAATTGCTTTGGATAGTTGTTTTTATTTGGGCGTGTAAATGTGGAGATTAGCCAACAACAATATCAGGGTACGGAATATTTGCAGTGTCAGGGGCTCAAGGATCAGGGTATATGATGTTGCACTTTCATCTCATTATTGTATTCTTCTTTCCTTCTTAACCCTTTGTGATATTTCTCCGTAAGATGATGACTTAGATACTGTATGTAAATATGTAGAAATATTTACAAAGGGCTAAAACTAGAAAAGGAAAAAAAATGGAGATGTAATTGAGCTCAATTTTTGATTGATAAGAGGAGGAAAAAGTAGGAAAGCAATCCATTTCCAGTTAGTTGTAAAAGTGAAAATGATGTTCCAAACTCCATATTGATTTTGTGGAAGCATTAATCTTACAGCTTGATGAAGAAAATAATATCAAAGATGTAACAAACGCGAAAAAATGTAAAACAATAAGTATGTTTTTTCACGGGCAAGTCATACTGTAATTTCGTATAAATTATAAAATTTTACGAGTTTGACATCAAAAATTCACTCTAATAAATATATATTGTCCCATCTTAATCTATATATATATATATATATATTATATTAATATATATATATTATATATATATATAATAAAGTTTTATTCACTAGCAAGTGTGAATGTATGTTATTATGTAAAAAATAAATTTGTAATTAGGTAGATAGGTGTGCAACTAGACGATATAAATTCAATGTGTATAGTTCTAACAGGATATTCATAGTTATTTTGCAATTGATCTGTAAGGTATCCCCTAATCCGTTTCAATTCTCATCAAAGTATTTGGCAGCACTCCCGTAAATGTAATAGCCCAAACCCACCAGCAACATAACCAATCATTTCCCGCGATCCTTTGGAAAGCTCCAGGTCCAGCCAGCTGAGACTTCGGTTTTGATTTTATAACGTACGTAACCTTCCATGTTCCATCATCAGCCGGCATCATACCTTTCCGCTTCCCTCACTCCCAACAGTAGCAGTCTTCACTCTGCTGCCTTCAAACACATGGCTTCGATGCCTCTAGAATCGCCTCAAACTCCTTTTCGAGTCTTCTAAATCTAACATTTGATGGCCCTTGTCGTTTAGCTTCGAATTCAGGTTTTTATGGTCTCCCGGACCAGCCGCTGAATAATATACCTCTGTCTACTTCAGCTTCAGCTAATAGAAGGACTCGTAGATTTCTGTCCCAAGTTCCGCTCCATGCTACCAATGCGCCCAACCGGAACTATTAAGTCCCAATCCTCCCTTTCCTTCGACGTCGTCATCATTGGCGCCGGAATCATCGGGTTGACCATCGCCCGACAGTTCCTCCTCTTTTCGGATCTCTCCGTCGCCATACTTGATGCTGCCGTCCTTGTGCTGGTGCCACTGGAGCTGGTACACCTCTTTTTTTTTTTTTTTCCTTAAGATGATAGAGCATGTGTCGTGTATCTATTTCCGGTGCGGCTTGATGATTGGTTGTAGCTAGCAGTCTCTTTGGTGATGTTAACGTTGAGGGTGGTTCTAGGGCAGGGGTACATATGGAGGATAAACAAGACACCTGGAGCTGAAAATGGGAACTAGCATCTAGAAGCCATCAATTGTGGGTTAATCTGGCTGAGAGCTTGCAACATCAGGGCTTGAATCCTTTGCAGATTCTTGGATGGATGAAGACTGGTACTAATTTTAACTCCCATCCTTCCCTTCCCCATTGGAAATGACTCCACAATGGTGGCCTGCAGGCATTTTTCTTTATAAAGTCTTTTCTGTTTTTGTGTTTTCTATGACATTTTAATGTTTCTGCTTTAAGTTAATTGTGCTCGATTTCACTCTTTTGCCATTTCTACTGTATTTTTTCGAGATTACTGAATGCACTGACGACATAATAGGCGTAAAAGTTGAAAGGTGGTATAACAATGTTTGTTGTGGATGGTGGAATTGACTAGCTTTTTGAATCGTCAACTGAATCGAATGATGTGCTGCATTTAGCTGGCATGCCCATCCAATGAGAATTAGTAGGTTCAACTCTAAATTAATGAGTTACTATGGTGAAGCTTATTAGTGCTCGCTTGGTCATTTCTCCTATCTAATAAGTTGTTATATTTAGTGAGCATTTGTTGCACTCAACCCTATTTTCTGGATTTCTAAGGTGAAGCTTCTCTGTGCTCACTTGGCTCATTCCTCGTATGTGGCATAGTACATAAATCTAATTGGATCATATTGTTTGTGAATTGGACACTTAGAGGGAACATTACTGTCTTCACTCGTGCATGAACCAGTTTTCATGAAATATAAAGGAGGATAAGAAAAACTTGTTATGCATTAACAAACATATTGCTTCTTTGAATTATCCTCAAGTGCTAATTATCTATAGAACATTGCTGATGTTTGATAGGAAGTTTATTGGTTGGTAAAACGAAGGAGGAATCTACCTTGTTGAAGGCGAAGGTGAAGCAACTATGTGATGCTGGGTTGGAGGCAGTGTTCTTGTCCAACC